GACCCACTGGGTGAAGTGGGACTCCATCTGTCGTCCCCACTCTGAGGGTGGGCTCGGGATTCGGCGTTTCTCTGATATGGTTACTGCGTTTTCCTACAGGATGTGGTGGCTCCTTAGGGAGGGCAGTCCCTTTGGGCCCAATACCTCCTGAGGAAATATTGCCCTGGTGGTGCTGCTCATCCCTGCAGGGTGACAGCCACCGCTCGGGATAGTCGTCAGTGGAGACGTCTTACCATTGTTGGCAGGCGTGCTCAGGAGCACATTTTTTTGACCTTGGGTTCTGGGGAGGTTAGCTTCTGGGATGAGTGGTGGTTCGGCGAGGTCCCTCTCTCGAGTACTAGTCCCGTCACTCACCTGTCTTTCATGCAGGTGAAGGACCTTTGGACGGGAGGGTTTTGGGATAGAGATAGGATGGAGGATATTCTTGGTCAGGGTGGGGGTTTTAGTAGTCTAGAGATTGACCAGATCCGACAGATTCCCATTATGGAGGGAGGTTTGGATGGCATGAGGTGGAGACTTACATCTTCGGGTGCATTCTCTACGTCCTCAGCCTAGGGAGAAGTGAGGCTGGGCAACCGGCCAAACCGCCTCTTCGGGGCCATATGGACTGACCTTCTCACCCCGGCCATTTCGGTCTTTTTGTGGCGTCTCCTATTACGGCGGATTCCCATTGACACTGTGATGCAGGCGAGAGGGTTCTCTTTCCCTTCCCGCTGCCATTGTTGTGCTGAGACCGGTACCTTTGTGATCGAGACTTTCGCCCATCTTTTCCTTGAGAGTGAGACTGTGAGGAGAGTGTGGGAGCACTATGCCAGATATACTCATATACCCCTACCCACTACAGACAGTTTTTTTGAGCTCCTGAGTTTCTTCTTACACCGCACACACAGTAGACACGTGGGCTTCTTTATTCTTTGTCTGATCCTATGGGCCACCTGGACAGATAGGAATAATGCGAAGCATAGGGATATTATATTTTCTTGTGCTCACATTATTTTGCAGGTTGACAGACACCTCTCTCTCCTCACCGCCCTGGGTAGACTCACGACGAGAGACTGGACAGGGTGTACACCGCCCCATCGGTTGAGGCCACCTCCTCCTTTACCTGTCCAGCAACCACAACCCAGGACCGTTGTTTGGCTGAAACCCAAGGCCCCTTGGGTTAAGCTAAACACTGATGGCGCTTTCGACAGACATACCAGAGCTGCTAGAGGAGGAGGCCTGATTAGGGATCATGGTGGAGCACTCATCTCTACCTTCCATGGGCCACTCCGGGCCTCCTCGAGTTATGATGCAGAGATTCAGGCTCTCCAGATTGGCCTCGAGATTGCCGCCTCGATCTCTTCTCATATCTGGATTGAGATGGATGCTGCGGCTGTCATCACACTTTTGACATCTGGCCACCAGGGCTCATGGTAGATCCAGCATCCTCTTATGCGTATCAGAGACACCCTCCGCTCGGTCCATTACCAG